CGGCCCCCGGCCCCTTCCCATCCCGCCTCTCTGGGACCCCACTGCATGTCTTTGTATCTGAGACTGGGCACTTCCTGGGAGCATTTCCTTCACTGAGAATTGGTCATCGCTCTGAGAGTGAGATTCTGTGTGGGCCGTTAGATCCCAGCTGAAACCCAAAGCAAAGAAGGGAAGTGCTGGCCCCTCTGCTGGCTTTGCACTTGCAAACCACTTCCCGTCTCTCTGATCATCGTGAATCACAGAGGGCCTCGCAGGGTGTCTCCCATGTGAAAAGCAAATAGCTCCTTCACATGGCGATTGCAAAGGGAAGGGAGGGAGGCAGCGCTGCCCCTCTCCACTGCCGGGCAAGTCCCTGGGCTCCGATCTTTCACCAGACTCTGCAGGGGGTGGCACTGGGGGCACGGCTGCAGGGGACGCTGAGCCCAGGCAGGCAGCGGGGCAGGGGCCCGGGGGACCAATTCAGCAGACAGGATCGCTCCCCAGAGACGACACCACTCCTCACCAAAGCGTGTGCACAGTGGCCTGTGGGTCTCACCAGGGGCCACGGTGACCCGTTCCTGGGTCACTCCCCTCAGGAGGGAGATGGCCCCTCACCCTGCCCCCCCATGGGTCTTATTGGTTCACAGACTGGGAATCAGAGTGTGTAGTCCCGCCGTGGGACTGACAAGTGCCCTCCCCTCCTATAAACTCGCCCCGAATGAGAATCCATTGTCTGAAACTGCTAAGCTCCCTCAGAAAGAACGTGGCCTCGTGTTTTTCCCGGGCGGTGTCACGGCATGCTGTGCAGTGTGGCCGATAGAGGAACAAGGACAGAGGGGACCAGCCACGTGGTGGCCATGGTCAGGCATGTGGATGCCAAGCATTGCCCACGGGGGTGTCCACGGAACTGGGCAGCATTGCCTGGAGTGGGCGTGCATCCACCCCGCACCCCTGGGCAGGGAGGTGGGCTCTGTCAGCCAGGAAATCCAGACACGTGACACTGGTAACCGGGCCAGGCTCAGTGTCCATTCTGTCACTCATGGTTCCTGACCTTTCTGAGGCCCGGTTTCCTCACATCTTGAATAGGAAGAGCCCCGTGTGCCCAGCGATGTGCTGAGGGCTGCGTCAGTCATCTCATGGTGATGCCAGAGTAATCCCATCAAGGGTCCCAGGGGTCCTCGGTATAGCTGTGAGTGGTGTGGGTGACCCCCAGCCGTGAGGGGCAGGGAGTGGTCCTGCCGTCATGCACACACGCGTTTCACTCAGGGGAGTCTCTCAACAACAGTAGTTGTGTGAGACCCTGGACTTGGAAGATGGAACGGTGCTCAGGCGCAGCAGGGGACAGATGTGCCGGCGCCGAGTGCTGCGTTGGTGGCGATATCTATGGGGAAGGGGCTCGTGAGGATACGTTGGGGCGGGAAGAACTCCACTGAGGGACGCGTCTGGGTCTGAAAGGGAGAACAGGAGGCGGCCAGGTAGGAGCGGAGGGAAGGACGTTCTAGACGGAAGTGGCACTGAGCCAGGGAGGGCGCGGGGGCGGGGCAGTTATTCATCCCTGCTGTGTCCCCAGGAGTGAGGGTCTGGGCAGAGCCCCTGGGAACGCTTAGGAGGTGCTGGACCCCCAACCCCACCCGGGCTCAGGGAGGGGCCACACGGCCTACGAAGCTGCAGGTTCTCTGAGGGCAGAGTGCGGCTTTGTTTCTCCACAACTGCCCCGGGTCCGTGGAGACTAAACTGCCCCGTGTGCAGTCACGCAGATAGAGGCCTTCCCAGCCAGCACATTCCTCGCCCTGAGCACCTCCTCTAGGGAGGAGAAAGCTTCCGGGAGCTGAGCGTGGCCGCCATTTGCCCAGGAGCGCGGCCGTTGGCACAGGTGCTGGAGGGAGCGGGGAAACCCAGTAGCTTCCGCCGGGTGAAAGCCGGTGTCTGACCCTGGGCTGAGCAGCTGTCCCTGCTTGGGAGATAGGGAGAGGGTCACAGACAACCACGGGGTTCCCTGAGGCGCTTTGCGACCTAAATGCCCTGTTTAGGTTCTGAGTAACGGGGAGAACAGTTCTTTCCAGGCGCTCACCGTCCGTAACGGAGCAGCCTGTCCTCCCTCATCCTGAAGGGAAGGACCCAGGCCTGGGTGGCTTTGCTCCACTCCCGCCCGCAGCCTGTGAGCCTGCTCACGCGCCTGGAGCCTGGGGCGGAGGCTGGAGGAGAGACCCGAAGGGGCCAGGCGGGCGGAGTGGGCAGGGAGGACGGGCAGAGGCGGCCTCCATTCTGGAACTTGTGTTGCCCAGACTTGGTCTCACACGGCAAGGGCTGGCCTTGGGGAGCCCCCTCCCCTTGTCAATCGGCCACTGGCTGTGTGTGGGGGCTCCCGGACACCTCAGGTGAAGTGGCTTTGTGGGTGTTTCTCCTGAGAAGAGTGGGGTGGGCGCCCCGCCTGGCAGTGGTGGCAAGGGCTGCATGGAGAGCCCCAAGATAGAGCCTGGGCCCGCCCTGTCCTGGAGGTCTGTGTGCCGGTGGGGGAGGTCTTTTGTCTGCCAGCGTGTCCCGACAGCCTGAGCTCCCCCCGTGGTTTAGGGCAGTCTTAGCCCTGCGTGGTCGGCCACCGTAGGGCCGTACCCTAAACGTGCATGCCATGTCTACTTAGTGAACTGGTGAATGAATGCATCCTGCCTCCCAGACTGACCCACATAAGATAATAGAGCAATGCAGAGTGTGTAGCAAGAGTAAGATCAGTTCAGCAAACATAGACTGTGTGTAATGGGTTGGAGAAAAATTCATTTGGAGAATTCTTCTTAGGGAGAGGATTAGCTTTGGGAGAAATACTTTGACAAATTGCTTGTGGTAGAGTCAGAACCCTAGACAGCCTGAGGCCACAGTAGTGACAGCGGGCCGGGGAGGAGGGACAGGACAGACTGAGAGTGGGGCTACCCCTCACGGTGGGAGGCGGTTCCCCAGCTTCCTCCAATGTGCGGGAGTGTGACATGTACCCCTCATGGTGTCCCTGAGAAGGTGTGTTGCTATTAAGTCATTTTACAGATGATGGAACTTGAGACCCAGAGGTGAAGTTAGTCGACGCTTGCCCATCGGTGGTGGTGCCAGGGTTCACAGCTGGGTGGACAGTCTGCGGAAGCACCTCCTCACTTGCTGTGCAGCCACCACACAGCACAGAGGAGAGAGCGCAGAGTCCAGGGATGGGTGCCGTTTCCTGGGGGCTGCGACACCCCTGCAGCGTCCCAGGTCTACAGTAACAGCTGCCAAGCTCTCCCACGCTGGGTTGCAGGGATGAGGGAACCGAGGGCTGAGTCTGACGCTCAGGTTGGTGTGGAATGAAGCAAACAACGTGGGTGGACTGCCGCTTGAGGCACACGGGCCTGGGCCTTGGCGGAGACCGGCCGCAGGACCACGGGCAGCGGCTGTGGGAAGGTGTGTGGTGTCAGCCTCTGGGTGGGGTGCTGAGGGCCGTGGGCTCTTTCCAGCCTTTAGCTATTCATCCAGCAGTACCCAGGGAACAACGCCACGGCCCGCGTGCTGTTCTCGCCGGGGGCCTGTGCTCTGCCCTCCTGTGGCTCCTGGGCTAGTGGTGAGGCCGAACGGGAGGACCTGCACGGCTAGTGCAGCTCGGCAGGGGCTGCCTGAGAGCCTTTGGAGCAGAGATGCTCAGGGAAGGCTTCCTGGAGGAAGTGAGGTCTAGGTGGAGAGGTAAAGGGGGAGCGGGCAGGGAATGCGCTTCCAGGCAAAGAGCACAGAATGTGGGGAAGAACTGAAAGAAGCCCAAGATGCCAGAAAGGGACCGGAGGTGGAGAGGGAGGCAGGGGTGCGCACATGCCACCACACGGCCTGTGCGCCCGGCTCTCGGGCAGCCCTCGTCCGTACGGCTTTCCCTGGGTGCTTGGCTGGCCTGTTTGAGGGGGTGATGTCCTCACTGTGCCCCGTGCTCTATGCCCAGACACCCCAGTCACACCAGCAGATGACCACCGTGAGCTCCCGCTGTGCCAGGCCCTTTGGCAGGAGGGCCCCTGGGGGAGCTCTGGTCTTCACTCCCTGGGGGCCGCAGGGCCCCCGGCCCCCAGCCTCACCCCATTCCACTCTACCTGCAGAGTTTTATTTCAACACGGCTGTCCATTGGCTTGGCAAGTGAAACAGTCCATTTCTGTATTGTCATCACTGGAACGTAAGCCTCTCAAATTCAAGGTTCATGTCGGATCAGTTCAGTGTCCTGTGCACGTCTCACCATCCCTGTCTCGTTTCAGACATGGTGTGTGTTTGTTCCATGCAATTAACTTGTTAAAGGAAGAAAGAAACAGGCTCCCCCCACCCACCCACCCCCACCGCGCCATTCACTTCCCCAATCACTAGAGAATATTAGGAACTAAATTCTCCCCTTTTGATTGCACCTTAAATATTGGGCTTTAATTTATGGAGGAAAAGGGAAAGCTTTACAGATCCGTTTCTGAGACCCACATCGGCTGTTGCATATTGGTGCCTGGCAGACTTGTATTCTTTGCATTTCTAAGCCTAATTTTTTCATCCACTGATACTTGTCAAGAGGCGGTCTTCCTCCATGATGAACTCGCATAAGCGAGCCCATCCGTAATAATATGTGTAATTACCCCGAGATGTATAACACGACAGACAGGAAACCAGCATGAAGCCGAAACGTGTCGAGAAACGCATTAGGTCGTGTTGAGCAGTGAGCCACGGTTTGCATGTTTACTAAGGAAAAACAGCCTTGCTCTTTCTTGATTTCCCGCAGCAAGAATAGCTGCTGGGTTAAAACCTGGTGGGTTTCCCTGCTTACACAGCAGTAGCTTAATGCACCCGATTTGGGGGCAGGGGGCAGGGTGACACTTGGTATGTCGTCCTGTCATTTCCCACACTCGGGTGGTGTCTTAGAGGTTGGCAGAAGAGGAGGGCATGTCCGCTGTGGGCGGTTTCCTGTCTGGCGGGTCTGTCTGTAACTTCGTGAACTCCCTCTCCTGTCCCCGGAGCTGAGCAGGACTATGTTTTCCTTGACCGAGGGCCACCCCTCTCTGCAGCGCACGGGCGAGGCGAGTGTGGAAGGGCTCCTGAACCAGCTCATCCTGGACCACGTGCAGCTGGCCCCTCTGCAGTGGGGTGAGTACCGCGCGTCCCCTTGGGGTGACTGCACCCCTTTCTCACGGCGTGCAGGATGCTCTCGGCAGTGTGTGCTGCGGTCGCTGTGGGAGACCGGTGGGGAGGGGAGCGCCCCACGCTGCCGTCCTGCGCCGTGGCTCTGACCATGTCGAGATGGGTGTGCGTCCTGCAGGTGTTCTGGGCTCCGAGGGACTGGGGCGGTGGGACAGAACCAGCCTGCGAGGCCATGCACGTGGGTGAGCAGCCACAGCCCGTCACGTGGTCGGCGTGCCAGCGTGTGTTTGGTGAACACCTGAACTCAGCGTGGTGCTCAGCCCATGAGAGCGCTGTGGTTTAACACTCAGCCCCGTGTGCTCCGACGTGCGCCCCAGCCTGCCCCTGGGGACGTGCGCCCCAGCCTGCGCCTTTCTCACTAGCACTCAAAAATATGTTGCTGAGACACAAGCTAACTGTAATATTGTTGAGGTGAGGGGCTTCATTTTTTATCATATAATTTTGGGTCAAATGGGAGCAATTGGTTGTTAACACATGGACGTCCCCTTTCTTTACCCAAGAAGCCATTGTAGATCGTATCTGGTCTTTTTTCCAGTTAAAGAATAAGCTTGGTCTCCCGCTTTTGCACGCTGGAGACACATGTTAATTATCCCAGGGGCTTGATGAGAAACCCAGCCTTCCGCCTGGCCTCCCCTCTGCACCCCTCGCACGCACAGGGTCTCTCCCCGCTGCCGGGCTGCCAGCTCCCACAGGTGAGGGGCCCTCCCGCAGCTGTGAGTGGACTGTATTTTATACCCAGGGGGCTCCCTTAATGGACCATCCCCCACGGAGCCAGCCTGAGTGGAAGGAAGGTGGCGGTGTTTCCACCGAGGGTGTCACGGCACCTGTGCAGCCTCCCTCTGCCCAGACACCTTTCCAGGTTAGGATGTCCTGTCTTGTGATGACCTGGGCACAGCCAGTACCTTTCACCAGCTGTGGGCAGCGGAGAGGCGGCAGACACCCAGACCCTCCTGCCTGTGGGGCTAGGACAGGCCCCAGGGAACCAGCACCGTGAAACAAAACGAAACAAAACTTAATGAATTATGTTAGTCAGAAGTAAGTTCCCGAAGGAACAAACAGTCACACTGCAGCCGCGCCCCGGAGGAAGCCCCTGGAGGGGCCAATCTGCAGACACCGCAGGGTGGGAGAGACCAGGTGCCCTTTCTGCATTTGCATCACGTCCCTGACAGGTGGTTTCCTTTTCTGTTTGGTGGGTGACAATGTTTGGGTCACTGCCTTGCCAACACTGCCAGCGTGTTGGTGGATAATGCCGGTCTTAATAATTGTACCCTGGAGAAGATGCATTGACTTTCTAAAACTAACGCTGAGGCCTGGGAGGTTTGTGCCGGGAGCCCTTTCTGGCAGCGGGGACCCCGCGGCAGGCGGTTCAGGGCTGCATTTCGGGCCTCCAGGCGGCATCCTGCCACAGCCCTGGTCCTGCCTTCCTGGCATAACCGCTCTGCAGAAACAGTGTCAAATATTTGCCTGTTCAGGCGTCATGATTAATGTAACTGTTACTGTCTCTGCTATTCCCAGTGAACAACTTTATACACAGACTTTGGGTTGATTTTTCTGACTAGATGGGTTTTCTAGTTGTGGAGTTACTAAGTCAAAGGCTCTTGGGCTGTTTTGTCAAATGCACGTGACTGTGGATCGAGGCGTGGGTGTTGTGGAAACATGAGTTTCAGAGGTGACATTCTCCCCTGTTGTGAGCATGGTTCCAGGGCAGTGGTCCACGAGAGAGGGCAGGAGGTTTTGCCTGCCCCCCTCCTGCCCCATGCTGCTCCCCCAGCCCACTGTCCCCCGAGGTGGGGCAGGCTCTTCATCCCAGGGCTCAGCATAAATCACCTCACACCCTCCCTGTCACCTCTGCAATGGATCTGACATCTGGGGCCCTGCCTGCCGCTCACCCCTAACCAGGGTCTTGGGGCCACCTCCTTCCCTGTTGCCCCACTTCATGACTAGGGCTGTGCCAATAGTTCTTCTGGGGCCCCCACAGCCCCCCAGTGCCCAGAGGGGGTTCAGATGGCACTGCACAGGCTGCCAGTCCTGGTGGGCCCTCACTCACCTGACAGGTGTGTCTTGAACTTCCGAATGTCAGCCTGTTTGGCCTGGCCTGGCAGGTCCCTTTCCCTGACATAGAACAGGCTCACGTGGGCAACTCAAAAAGATAAAGCCTCTTATTTTAAAATAACCATTTACAAGTGCCTCTCACATGCCAGGCGAGGTGCCAGGACTCCTCCAAATGAGGACCCCGTGGCTTGGCCAGGTTGGCCCTGTCCAGCACCGTCCAGCTGCGCAGTAACGGACCAGGTTCAAACGCAGGCTTTCTCACACTGGAACTGTGACCTTCCCACTGGGCCAGTTGGTGAAAGGACTCTGTTCTCATTGTAGAAAGCTAGGGAAACCAGAAAAGTCAGAGAAAGGTGGCCCTTTCCCCATGCCCCCAAACAGCCTTCTGTTTCAGTTCATTTTTGTGCATTTCTATTTTTTAACTTTGGACCCCTCTTGTCCATTATTTTCCCCTCCTCCACCAATCTGTTCTCTGTATCTATGAGTTTGGAGGTGTTTTGTTTTTGTTTTTCAGATTCCACATATAAGTGAGATTGTATAGTACGTATCTGTCTTTCTCTGTCTGACTTACTTCACTCAGCGTAACACCCTCTAGGTCCATCCAGGCAAGTTGTCACAATGGCAAGATTTCGTTCTTTTTCATGGCCAAGTAATATTCCATCGTGTGTCTGTTCCACGTCTTCTTTATCCCTTCATCCATCATGGCCACTTAGGTCGCTTCCATGCCTCGGCTATTGTGAATAATGCTGCAGTGAACACGGGGGTGCAGATGTCTTTTCAAGTTAGTGTTTTTCTTTTCTTTGGATAAATACCCAGAAATGGAATCACTGGGTCATATGGAAGTTCTATTTCTATTTTATTGAGGAACCTCCATACTATTTTTTCTAGTGGCTTCACCGATTACAATCCCATCAACAGTGCATGAGGGTTCCCTTTTCTCCACATCCTCACCAACACTTGTAATTGCTTGTATTTTTGGTAATAGCTCTTCCGACAGTGTGAGGTGATATCTCCTTGTGGTTTTGATTTGCATTTCAAATGATGATTAATGACGCTGAGCATCTCTTCATGTACTTGTTGAACATCTGTGTGTCTTCTTTGCAAAACTGTCTATTCAGATCTTCTACCCATTTTTTTAATTGGAATTTTTTTTTTTGGCTGTTGAGTTGTATGAGTTCTTTATATATTTTGGATATTAGCCCCTTATTAGATATATGCTTTGCAAAAAATTTTCTCCCATTTATAGGTTGCATTTTCATTTTGTTGATGGTTTCCTTTGCTGTACAGAAGCTTTTTCGTTTGATGTAGTCCCACTTGTTTATTTTTGCTTTTGTTGCTTTTGCTTTTGGTGTCAAATTTTAAAAAATCATCATGAAGACCTATGTCAAGGAGCTTTTCACCTATGTTTTCTTCTAAGAGTTTTATGGTTTCAGGCCTCAACATTCAAGTCTTTAATCCATTTTGAGTTAATTTTTGCTTATGGTAAGAAATAGTGGTCTTTTGTATGTGGCTGTCCAGTTTTCCCAACATCATTTAATGAAGATACTGTCCTTTCCTCATTGTATATTCTTGGCTCCTTTGTTATAAATTCATTGACCATATATGTGTGGGTTCATTTCTGGGCTCTCTCTCCTGTTCCATTGGTCTATGTTTTGTTTTTATGCCAATATCATGCTATTTTATTTTATTTATTTATTTTTATTTTTTTAAGATTTTTTTTTATTGGGGAATTGGGGGATGGGAACAGCGCTGGGGAATTTGGGGAAGGGGAACAGACAAGTTGCTGTCCTTTTGTTCTTCAGTCTAGTTGTGGAGGACGTTGCTTCACGGGCCCAAGTTGGCACCATTGCGCTCTTCCCGGGCGAGGCAGATCAGTCGCCGGCCTCTGGATGGCCGCTCATGGCGGCTGCTGGCCGCTCACGCTGGCTGCTGGCTACATACGGTAGCTTATGGCAGCCCACTGCCACAGTGGCTGCAGCCTACGCTGTCGCTGGCGACTCACAGCAGCCCAGCTCCAGGTTGAGCTGTTGTTCAGCATCTTAGCTGTGGAGGGCAGTGTCACTGGCCCTCATATGTGGGATCCGAACCGGGGCCCTCTGGCGTCCCAAGCCAGTTCTTAACCATCGCGCCACTCTGCCAGCCCAATATCATGCTATTTTAATTACTATAGCCTTGTAGGATAGTTTGAAGTCAGATAGTATGATACTCCAGGTTTGTTGTTCTTTCTCAAGATTGCTTTCACTATTTGGGGTCTTTTGTGGTTCCATACACATTTTAGGAGTATTTGTTCTATTTCTATGAAAGATGCCATTGGGATTTTGATAGGGATTGCATTGAATCTGTAGATTGCTTAGGGCGGTACAAATGTTTTTTAGCAATATTGAGTCTTCCAATCCATGAGCACAGAATAGCTTTTTATTTGTGTCTTCTTCAGTTTCTTTCATTCATGTCTTGTAGTTTTCAAGGTCTTCCAGCTCCTTGGTTAAATTTATTTCTAGGTATTTTGTTCTTTTTGATGCAATTGTAAATGGGATCTTAATTTCCCTTTCTGGTAGTTCATTATCAGTGTATAGAAATGCAGCAGATTTTTGTGTACTGATTTATTTCCTACAGCTTTGCCGAATTTGCTTATTCTAACAGGTTTTTGATGGGGTCTTTAGGGTTTTCTCTGTATGAAACCATGCCGTCTGAAAATAGTGACAGCTTTACTCCTTCCTTTCCAATTTTGATGCCTTTTATTTCTTGCCTAATTGCTCTGGCTGGGACTGCCAATACTGTGTTGAATAAAAATGGCAAGAGCGGGCATCCTTGTCTTGTTCCTGATCTTAAAGGAAAAGTTTCAACTTTTCCTCACTGAGTATGAAGTTAGCTGTGGGCGTGTCATATATGGGCTT